TTTGAGTTCAGCTCACGATGAATGAGGGCAAAAACAAAAGTGTTGCGTTTATAATTTTGTTCAGTGTATATTGTGTGGAGAGGGGTCATAAACAGCAAAAGTGAGCTCTTTAAATCAATCAATTTCAAAACACACAGAGCTGTTGCAACTGAATGGTTAGGTGTGATTGTAACATGAATCATATTGCGGTGTAGAAATAACATCGCTCTAGTCACTTGGATGAGAATGGGGTTAGGGTGAGAATGCCTTTACTGATGACGGATATTATTGAGGTTGTCCTCAGAGCAAAGTTTGGACCGGTTGTACTTTGCAGGCTGAGACTGCATCAACACACGTTATAGTCTTTTTACTAGACTTAAAAGCGCTCTAAAGACCACAGTTATCCAGCAGAATGTAATCACCTACTGTACAAAATACTCAATTAACTTAAGTACTTAATTATTTTTTCTACCTTTTAAACAAACACAATCACAAAATACGTAGTCATTTATGGCAAAAGATTGTTTAAGGCCGCAAATACCAGCTGAAACAAATTTCAGGCCCACCTCTACAATAAAACACCTGCTGTTAGCTGAATTATACTCAACCGTACAGCAGGGTGCAGTAGCTACACTTACCTACCATGTGTACTTCCATAATGACTATGGCCTTTTGGATAAGTGTTCCCACGGTGGTGCTTGATCTATTGTCATTGTGTTTGCATGCCTTTTATGATGGTAACAATAAACTTAATTTGTTGCACCTTTCATACTTAGGATTCACAGTGCTTTACACAAGATTCAAACATTTAGATTTAAAGTTTTCAAAAAATTTTAAATGCAGCAAAACAGAATATTAAATACAGTAAGCAAGAGGCAACAACAAGAGACTTAAAAGCAAGATTAAAAAGGTTAGCTTTCTTCTGTTTTCCCATCAGTAATGACAATTACATGAAGATTATAGGTCTGTGCAGCCCACTAAAACACAAATAATTTTTTTTTAAAAGCAGGAAATAGAAACATTACCAAATACAGAGCAGTGTGTTTTGTTTATTTGTGTTGTAAACCTACCAAGTTTTGACTTCCCGTGCTGCTATTCTTCGTCTTTGCCCCACCGCAGTGAGGGAGCAGAGACCATGTACTACTTCACCACCTTGGCGCTGACCCTAAACGAGCCCGAGGAGGGCGTGGCGCCCACCGACAGCCGCCGCCGGCCCGACCAGCGCCTGATGGAGGATGGCCGCTGGGACGAGGCCAACGCAGAGAAGCAGCGGCTGGAGGAGAAGCAGCGCAGCGTCCGGCGGGAGAGAGAGAGGGAAGCTGCCAGCCAACGCACCTCCAGCCAGTCAGAAGAAGGTGAGCGTCCAGTGTGTTTACTACTTCTGCATTCCTCTCTACCTTTCATGGGGCAAATCTTTAAGGAATTAAGGGGTAAAAAAAGAAATCTCTGTGATCCCCCTTTTCTCTTCCAAAAGCTGTCGATGAGGACTCTGTAACTGATCCCTCCTTAAAAAGCAAGTACTCCTCTTTTTGTCTTTACTGTCACCTCCTCATGCTTTACATTCTGTTCCAATGTTCTTTTGTCTGGATTGTTTTTAGTTCATCTTTTTTGGTAACACAAGTTTAATCTCTTTCAGGCGCACCTCACGAGAACTACCAGGCTCTTTGGTTCGAGCGCTGTGAGGACCGGATCACAGGTGAGCAAGTGCATATCTATAAGGGAGGCTATTGGGAAGCTAAGGATCGTGGCAGCTGGGAGGGCTGCCCAGACATATTTTGACCTCGGCATTGACTGCAAAAGTGCCCCGAAGAGATCCATCGAAGCCTCCTGGTGGACAGCTACCACAAAGGCTGGCTTGTCACCCTCCCCTCCCATTACACTTGGACGACTGCCTCCCTCCAGTGGCTCTCTGTTCTAAGAGATCTCCAGGACGGTCACTGCTGTCTGATCCAGAGAGGGGAGCAGGGTTTTTCCTCTGTCCTCCCTCAACCCATTTTGGTTCCTGTCTCCTTGAGTCCCCTTGTTGCCGTCACACATCTGAGAGGACTGGAAATGCAAATGTTTTGCTGCTTTGACTCGGGTCAGGCTGAGCATAAGGGGGCGGAAATGAAATGGGCAGTGCTTCCGAATCTACAGTAGATCATTCTTTTTAGTCTCTCTGCTCAAGTCTGTTTAGTCTCTCAGATCAGGAGCAGAAGAGGTTTTGTGCTGATAACACCCTGTGAGATAAAGTAGTGTCACTATTGTCATCCACAGCATTGTGTGCTTTGGTAATAACTCTAAAAAAAAAAAAAAGGGGGGTAAGACCTGGTTAATATATACATTTATATATAAATATGATTAAAATGATTTCATTAAATTGTTGACTGGTGGCCTTCAAGACGTTAGTGAGGATTTCTTGTTCATCTCTCTGATTTAGTGTCTTAATGTAATGAAGTGAAGGTTCTAGTGTGCTTGTGTGTATGACTGCATATCTGCTCTTCCATCACTTTACAACACTGCCACTGTGCAGTATACTGTGTTTTTTAAAAAAAGAAAAGAAATGATTGTCCAAAATACTGGTTGAACCTCCACACTGTTGTAGTTAAAAGAGATTTGTTTTCCCTTTACAAGGGCCTGATGGAAATTATGTTGGAAATTTTTGATGAGGCTACAAGGCCTAAACACCTTCTCTCTTCGCCTTAGAAATGCTGTCACTTGTATTTACATTGCACCTGAGTGGATGTGATGCTGACATTTGTAGCTGGTTTCTTAGGGAAAGACTACAGAGCTGCAAAATGGCAAAGGCTTGTTCCAATGCTGCGAAAATCTCCACTTTAGTGCAGTTTAATTCAATAACAATTAACAAAATGACACATTTCCGTAGCATTGGAATAACGTGGGACCATTGTGCGGATAAAGTTAATACTAACTAAGTTACATGGCAGTAAAAATAGTTTTGGAAAGTGTGACATACTTGGTGTGATTTTTGTGTTGAGAGGAACACAAACAAATAAGAAAAGAAAAGTAAGTGCAGTGTTGAAAATAAACGTCACACTCTTGTGTATCTGCTGAAGAATTCATACATATGCAAGTACATTTTGACACCAAAAACATGGGATACAGTGTGTGTGCGTGCGTGCGTGTGTGAATTTCATAATTTTGTTTGTAAGTGTACTTAAAAATGAAGAATAAAGAAACAAAGAAGCATTGCAAATAACTATGATTTTATAAATGTATAGAAATTCATATTATAGTATTGATAACTGTAAGGTAGTTTTTTTTTTTTTCTTGTATTTTGGTTCCTCTCATATTACTGGAAGAGGACTGTTTTCATTTTCAGAAAAAAAGGGAGTTTCCATACTTAACTGAAAAGTTACAGGACATTGTTCAGTATTTTGTATTAACAAAGAAAAAGAATCTGTAATAAACAAATGCTGTGATGTCAAACAAATAGCTTTTCATACTGTCCTTTAATTTCATTTGTTCCAACATTTCCATTAGTTATTGATTAGGGAACACGATTAAAGATTTGCCAAATCAATTGTTTGGGAATTTCTGTCCTCATGTTAAGCTGGAGCTTCAAATGGGACGACACATGTTGTCAAAATAATAAAAAAAACAATGAAAACATACTCATAGTTTGTGTTCCAGTTGATTGTGATGTATGTATGTATGTATGTGTACTGTATTTGTACATGCACAGGTGTTACAATATCTCAGTTGATTTGTACCAGACGTCTTTGTTAAATTGAAGAATTTACAATGGAGAGGTAGTAAAATAAAAGACAATGACAGGACATAAGAATAACTTATGGCAGATATATCGGTATCGGCGTGCTGAGGGTTAAATAACTGGAGGGTGTAGACAGTATCAGTGTCACGAAATTTGGAATAGATATTCACCTCAGGATGAATTGTAATAACTGGTAACCACCTCTCTAGTGCCATCATCAGGTGAAGATTGTAATTTGTATAATTTGTCTGGTTTATGACTAAATGCTTGCCAAACGATGATTTTCCCATCAGCCTCAGCTGTACTTTATGTTTCCAGCTAATTAGCATATGTCAGCACGCTAATACACTCAACTATGATGGTGAATGTGGTAAACATACAAGTAAACATGTTAAATGCTAACATCAACATGTTGACCTGTTGATGTTAGCATTTAAATTGAAGCATATAGCCTCACAAAGCTGCTAGCATAGCTGTCGACTTTTGTTTAACTGTAAAAGGCATCTTTAAAAAATGTTGTATTATGCATTAAGATAAGAAAAAAAAGGCTTGTATACATTAAAAAAAGATACACATGCTGATGTTGGTATTTAACTTAAAATCCAGGATCAGTCAGGCTATAGTAAAAGTCAAACAATTATACAAACTTCGAAAAATATAAAAAATATGCAAACTTCCCATAAAAGTTGTAAAACATACTAAACACCTATATTCAAAAGGCCATTTTACAATAAGAGAAAGGAAATGTAGTTGCCATTCAGAAAATGGGCATCAAGACAAGCTTTAACCTTCTATTTGAACTTTTCCTTTAGCTGCCATCCTCTTTGTATTTACAGTTAAAGATTAAATTTGTGCTCTCTTTAAATCACCAGCTTGTTGGTAATTAATTCCCATGCGAAAAAGAGCTGTTTCTTTCACTGTCCACACCACAGGCGCCTCTCCTGCTGTGTCATGCCAGCAGATTTATTTTCAGCCAATTTTCTGAAAGGCAGACTGGAACCTACCATCCTATACATGGGGCAGAGAAAAACGGGGAGTTGGGGAAAGTTGGGGAGGGGCTTCGGCAGACCTCACAGCTGTTGGGACCAAAGGAAGCAACCAATACGCCGCGTCACAGTCAGGACACACCCTGACTATGATACAGTGTAGTACAGTGCAGTGCAGTGGACAAGAGGTGGTAGAGAGACGGTGAGAGTTTGCATAACAGGCAGCTACAGCCTGTACAGAGGGAGGGATGGGAATGCTGAATCAGTAAAACTGCATGAAAGCCTGGGAGAGGGTGGAAGAGGGTAAACGGCAGGGGGAGAGGGAAGAGAAAGGTAGCAGCTTGGGTAAGATGTACAGTATGACGCTACGTCATTCATTTAATCTCTTATTTGTGAATACGGAGCTGACAGTTCACCCTGTTGTACCTCAAGCTCTCCTCAGTTAAGAGACTTTAAACAGACTTTTAAGCTCAGTGCTACAGTACATTTATAGGGTTTAAAGCCGGAACTGCCCCTTTACAGTTTTGAGCAAGCCAGAAAAACGAGGTAAGGTTTCACAAATCAATACCTCCGCTTTGTGTTGCAGTGTTGTCTACAATGTACCCAGTGACACTGAGGTAACTGATACCTCCCACTGAGTGAAACAACATTAAGCTGTTTCAATACTGAATAAAAAGAGGTGCAAGCAGTATATGAACAGAGAAAATGCAACTCGGTCTGTGCATGTGCTGCTCAAAACCGGATGCATAATGTACATACTGGAGGACTAAAAAACTATATTTTTTTGTTGCATGCGCCTTCAAATTCTTGCACTTTTCCCCCACTGTATCTGCCTGTTCTCAGTCAGATGGAGGTAGACAAGGTGGTGTGTTTGCCAAGGTTGTCCCGGGTCGCTGTGTGCGGTGGTACCCATGGAAACGAGCTGTCTGGGGTGTACTTGGTGAGGGAACTGCTGAAGGAGGAGAAGAAAGCGATGGAGCAGGAGGAGGAAAAGCCTGTGTCAGTGGTGTTGGTGTTATCGAACCCGTGGGCCATACAGCAGTGCCGCAGATACGTCAAGACCGACCTGAACCGCTGCTTCACCCATGCCTCCCTCAAGTAAGGCGGCATTAAGGTGATGGTGCTCATGGTAACGCTTCTGGTGATAATGAGTTGTGATCACGTTGTTTCTTTGCCTGCTAGTTGTCCCTTATCAGACTCGGCCCCCTATGAGATGATCAGATCCAAGGAGCTGAACGCCTTGCTGGGTCCCAAAGGAAGTCCTGAGGCGGTGGATCTTGTTTGTGACCTCCACAACACCACAGCCAACATGGGCCTGTGCCTCATCGCCTACTCGGACTGCGACTGGATCTGCCTGCACACATTCAAACACCTGCAGGCAAGCACAAGCGGTTCCTACACACTCCGAATCAATTCACCCTACATGTTTGAGAAACCTTCCAAAATCGGCTACACTTGAATTGAATACATAAAAAAAAGTGCTTGGTAATGCTAGAAATCTCAAGTTAGGTCTAACGTGTCATTTTCAGAGGCAGATGCCAGATATACCAATGAGGTACATCCATTTCGATGTCCCCAAAGAAGAATCATATTCCCTTGATTCAGTGGGAAAACATGGCTTCGGTAAGTTTTTAGTATAACATCAGTTTAGCAAAAGCTTTTGAATGATGGATCATCTGTAATATTTGTTGTCTAAAATCCATTTTCTGCAGCCATGGAGATTGGCCCCCAACCCCATGGTGTGGTGAGGTCAAACATCTATACGGTAATGAAATTTGGCGTGCAGCACATGCTCGACTGGGTCCGTTTCTTCAACTCAGGTGCAATTAAGCACAGGTTACAAATTGTGTATTTTTTTGCTTTGCTACACGACTAGACACAAGTACAAGTCTTGCAAACTTTGTTTATCTTTTAAGCCCCTCTTTTGCTTGTTCCGCTTTTATTTTTCAGGTACTATTATCGAAGGAGGATTTGTGGACGTGTTCACCATGGTTAAACACATCGACTACCCAAGAGACAGCGAGACTCACAACATCATAGCAGCCATTCATCCTCAACTCCAGGTACAGTCTGAGATGTATTTATGGATTATGGCTAAGGTTTATTCGAAGAAGCTGCCCTTTGTTAGAATGAAATGCTACGTAGCCCGGTCAATTAAGTTTGAATAAATAATAACCATTAATAACAAGACAACTCAACAATATGAAAACAAACTACCTAACAATAAACAATTTAATAACATAATGACCTTTTGTTTAGATTTTATACTAAAGGGATTAATCATGTTGTATATCTAGTAAATGACCTCACCTGTTTAAATTTGTGTTCGAGTCAGTGTTTTTGTCTGTTAACGTGTGTGTCATTTTCATTGTAGAATATTACACCATATAAAGGATGAGTGTTCACAGCACAGGGTGGGGCCTCTTCATGTAAAAGGGTTTCATACCAAAGAACAATATAGCGTCTGTGATGTACACACCTTGGTTTTCATACAGATCTGCTATAATTAACAGATTATAATACTCATTGTGGTTGGATGGCATCCAATAAATCTTATCAATCAGAAACTCCACTGGATGACTCATGAAATATTTTTTCATTTTTAGCAACACTTAATTTTACATGTCCATAATTTGTGAACAAATCCTGTTCCTTGGTGGGGTTATAGAGAGAACTATGTAACTTTTTATTACCTAAAGAGAAAGTAAACTACACTTCCAATTTATTAATTCCACTTAACTGTTAGTATAACCTAGAGGGAATTATGGTGAAATTATTAACCCATGAAATAGTGTTATCCTCAATATAAATGTAATAAATCAATAATAAAGTAGGAAGACAGGTGCATCTATGTTACTATGTACAAAAGCATTTTGTTGTTAGGAAAAAATACAACAATAGAAATTTACAAGATGAATGAAAGAAAATCCACCAACAACAATGTAACTATGTGATAGGTGATGACAATGCAGGCCGCCAATGTGGCAACATCATTAAGGAATAGAAACAGGCGGCTTGTGTTTGAAGTACTCTGATTAATATGCTTTGACATTTTCGTGACTGGAATGAATAGCTGCTAGTTTTAGCTGTCACAGGTGATGATTGAGATCTGTAGTTATTTTAAAGCTTGTGATGTTTGGCAGCAATCATGTAGGAGGCAGGTTTGAAGTATCACTTTGTCTGCTGTCGTGATTTCTAATCAGTACACACTATCATGAGGGACCTCCAGTCCATTACTAACATGGGTTTTAAATGCCTGGGGGCTTGTACATCAAACCGAAAGCTGTTATCATGCTTTTGAATCGTTTTCAAGCTTTATGAACAAGACAAAGTGTTTTCAAAAGTAATAATAAAATGAAGCCCGACTAAACTTAAAAGTTATATCACAAAGTTAAACTACAAACTGTTCTAAATGGTGGTTCTACTTACTCAAAATTGATTTGAGAGTATATCTCAGTTTCCTTTAACTTTCTAAGTATTGTTTGCTGCCCAGCTGCTGTAAAACCTCACACACACACATTTATATATGTGTGCGAAGATGGCCTCACAAATTTTAAATCTGACAAGTGTTGCTCATTATTAATCAACCTAACTGGCTGTTCTTCCCCACAGGACCGAGACTTCTGCCTGCTTCACCCCGAAGACCCACTGTTCCAGACTTTCTCAGGTGAAACGCTGAGGTATAAAGGCAAAGAACCTCTTTATCCTTTCTTCATCAATGAATGTGCTTATTACGAGAAAGGCATTGCTCTCTCCCTGGCAAGAAAGAGGCGTGTGATGATTCCTGCTATCCGGGTGCAGACAGAGCAGGAGCAGCAAGCTAGCGAACAGGGATTCGGATCAGAAGAAGAGGAATGAGGGTGGACTTTTAAAACACCCGGCATGATGAGACTGATGTGAATGCATAATAAATTTTACAAATATTTAACTTTTATTGAAATGACAGCAGTTGTTTGGAATACGCATGTGTACGCTTGCATACACACAATACACACAATATTTAGTGTACAATTTAGCTTCAGCTCACAACTGGAGAATGAACAACACCGTCATTGTAGATTCACAAAAAGCAGTCATACAGTGACATTTGCTGTTATTTACGCTACAGTGGATTCAGGGATAGAACAACTTCTTGAATTAAAAGACTAAATATGCAAAATACAATCTGATTTATCACAAGACCTATCAGACCACACACAGTGCATCATTTCACAGACATTCTTTAGTTTATGAAACCGTGTGAGTGGTGGTGATTTATATATTTCTGGACACACATAGCATGGCTTTTAGGGTAAAAATTAATTTTTTTTTCTAAATGTATGTAATGTATATATTTTGGAGACATTTACATAATAGAAATTCACTACTGACCACTACAGCAATATTCAGGATATGTTCAATAATAATTTAAGTGCAAAGGAACACTGTAGTTCATCACAATATGGCCTTTAAATTACATTCATAATGCCTAACAGGGAAACTCTTTCCCCTAAATCCTGTTGAATTGAAATGGTGATAATAAATTAATAAAAAATAAATAAACAAATATAAATTATTAATAACAAACACAGCTGAATTGACAAAAGGATGTGGGAACCAATTTATATGGGCAAACAAAACACAAAATGGTGAAAAAACTACTATGTTGAAAAATGTTTTCTACAAAAGCCTATAAAATCAGTCAAAATGTTAAAAATATACTTGAAAAGAGTAAAGAAAACAATGCATTGGGTAAACAAATTATTAACAAACACAGTCTGACCTTAACAATGGCCGTGGATAAATGTCACTTGAGATTTAAAAAAAAAAGGGTTGGGCAGAATTTAAACAAAACAGAAACAGATACGCAACAGTCACCAGTGTTTCGCTCACTGTACTCTTCATTGACGCCCGCATTCCCAGACTGTTTGAGCAGCAGAAGTAAAAGACTTATTATACAATAGCCATCCTCAAAATAAATATTGTTTTGTACAAGGTTTTTGTTGCTGCAGTGCTTAGAAACATACTGAAGGTGTGTCCAGTATACCTTGTGCAGCTCGGGCAAAAGTCACCACACCCAAATGTGCTGCTGGGTGTGATCACAAATGCAATAGATTTGAAATTGACGTCCAGAGTTGTTCATCAACCTAAAGGTGTGTCCCAGTGACATACCACATAGCTAATAGTGAAACTACCATTTAAACTATTATTTCTATGTTTTTGCTTTCCAATTTTTTACTGGATTGATTCCAGTCAGATCTTGACCAGATCAAAATGTTTTAAAATGTGATGTGCGGGTTATGCTTCTGCTATTATGATAACATTGGGAACATTAGGAACTAAGCAAGATTCCTATAATCAAATCCTACAGGTCAAGAAAGTAAGATTGGTAAACCTTAAACCTGTTTGAGTAATCATTTAATTTGTTGCAGTATTTTCTCTTCCCAATAAGTGTGGCTAAAGTGGGGACTAAAACTTGTCTGAACATGTTGATTTGACATGACTTGACATGTTGACTCGTGTTTCTTGCTTCCTCAAACAAGCTGCTGCAATCTTACCTATCAGCAACAAACTTGGTGAGTGCCGCAATCATCCTTTAATTGACCGACTTTTCGAGATTAAATGCACATGTTCAGAACCTGGAATGAATGAAATGTGTAATATGAAACTGGGACACAGCTGATGCTTTTCAGCTTGGTGTTACGTTACTCTGAATCAAACATATGTTGTACTATATGCACAGTTTATCTTTTTCAAATAACCCTTAGAGAGATAAAGATCAAATCCTTTAATGCAGCAGATAGTCATTTCTATAGAGTACATGCACTTTAATCCATCAGAGGGCACAGATTAACCCACATCCCATTCTTCTGAGATCATTATAAAATGCATCTTGGTGTCAGATTGGGGGTATGAATTTAAACAGGGCATCCAGGGCTGAATCTCAGTCTATGCCACCCGGTAGGCTGTCATGCGGTAGTAGTTCTGACTGTGGCTGCGTGCCGCCCACACCAGCAGTGCGGCAGCCATCATGTGGAGCGGTGAGGAAATGAGCGCCAAGTAGAGGGACCAGCCCAGTGAGCCATCCACCTTATCAGGCAGCATCGACACCCTGTGAAGCAGGTCCATCCCGGCCAGGTAGCAGCACACTGTGGCTAAGGTGCAGAGACCTGCAGGGCACAGAATGAGGGGGCGTAAGGAGATGTCTTTCGATGACTGTTTTTCAGATGGCTGTTGAAGAGCACATTTCTGTTTCATGCATACATTTTTTGAAACACACACATACTCATGCAGTGCCACTGCAAACAGACATTTTGACTTGTCATACTTTTTTGGCCATAGTGGCAGGGCAACAAGCTGTAAACACACGTATTATCACCTTATAAAGTGACTATGTTAACAAACAATTGCTTCTTCACACATCCAACACCCGCCAAACACCATTAGCATCCATTTGGTGTCTCCTTTTAGCTCCACTGTGTTAAGCAGCTAGTTGCTAACATTGTCTGTCTGCTGTTAATGGAAGCAGTGAACGTGACCCCAAACCAGAAAGTTGCTGGCTGTAAAACCACAACAATGAGCTGAAAGACACCAAAACACTGCATTTGGATTTGTGGCTTTTACAGTTGATTTATCAAGACTTAAGCCAAAGAAAAATAAACTTGCAATGACTTCTAATTACCTCACACCTCTGCCATGGGTGCACTATAAATAGTAAGATTAAATTTAAGGCGTGATCATGTCTGCTAACTGCTAAGGACAAAGTGACAAAAGATGCCAACTGTAGCGTACAGACAAACAGTATACTCTGTACAAAGACCTAGACTGTCTAGTAGTTAATTCATTATACAATAGGTGTAGCCCAGTGAGTTATTTTAGCCACACTAGTTGCATGGCTCAAGGTATTGCATAATCAGTCAGTACACCACTTTTGGCCATAAGCAGGGTAAAAGTTTTAATTTATCTTGCAAAATATCTCAAAATCTACTGGACGGATTTGAACAAAAATTGGTACAGACATTCATGGTTTCCAGATGATGAATCTTAATGACTTTGGTGATCCCATGTTAAACATGATATATACTTGCTTAATATAAATAGTGTTGTCATTGAAAGCATGTCCGCATTTTGACATTTAGCCTAAAGCACAGCCTCACAGTGCAGCTAGTATGGCTGTAGACTTGGTCATGTTCCCTGTTTAACATTTTGTTTTACCCTGTTTGTTCTTTTAGCAGGTATGTCTTTATACCTAATGGATTTAGAGGAATTCACCTTCTTCCCAAAGTTTTGATTTACTGTATATTCTACATGTTTTTCACAGCGACCGTAGTTTCTCTTTGGCGCTTGGAAGCGGAGGGTGAAGTGAGGGACTTAGAGATGGCACTAAATCCTCCACACCAGTCACTTGACTGCTTAATAAACCACTCTACTGTCTCATACGGGGCAATTTGCCAGTTACTGGGAAGTGTTTCTGTGCAGCAGAACAGGGCTTACCGGCAAGCAGGTGAAGTACTCCTATGCCAAGGGTGGGGGTGAGGCTTCGGCAAAGGCAGGCACAGAACCCAGTCAGGCCTGCTAACACCACTAGACCCAGGGATACCAGTGGCAGCAGAAACTGGAACCTCCACAAGTCTATACATACACACAGACACAGAAAAGTATGAGTCTCTGGGCATTACAGTTACTGAAGTCTTTATTTACTCACCTTCTTAAGCATGACTGAGGAAGCAGCCCTAATTAGGGGGAAATGTCACATATTGGTCATAATTAATGACTATTAGAAACGTATGAAGAGAAGAGAATGCAACTTTTCTTACAGCTTCATGCAACTTTTAAACAAAGGTAAACTTGCTGTGGCTGAACTTACAGGTGCGAACCATGTCCTCTCCACTGTTGTGGTTTCCTGGCTCTTTATACTTGGGAGTGAACTGCTGAGGTAGAGTGAAGCTTCGACACTCCAGCACCATCTTGGCATCTGAAAGAGGTTATTTACGTAACGAGCCAGTGTCTGAGCATGTATTAGACAATTTAATTCAAGTCACATATGCATTAATAAACTGTTTTTCAGACATTTTTAAGTTTCTTGTGTATATTTTCTACTTTCTGTGGACGTACTGCAGCAGATATGTAAGCATGTACTTTCCGAAAATGTTTCTATACTTAAAATGTAAATGATTTTATGAATATTTTATGTGTCTAAGAAGAAACTGCAAACTCACCTTTTTACCATTATCTGATGATAACATTGTTTTTTTTGGCTGATATCAATATTGATTTTTGTTTTTTGATTTGTTTTTGTTATTTGCGTTGACTGCTCAAAGGCTACAAATCACTACAGAAAAATCACATTATCTTATCAGCTTGTTCCTGCTCCAATAAGTCAAGATGTTATTAAAAATGTTGCAGCTTAGGAGAGTAAGTTTGTTTAATGAATAATATGGGTTGATTCACAGAGATAGATTTTTATGTAATTTATGCTACCAACTGAATTTTAAAAACCATACCAGGGCCAAAAGATTGTTGTTCTGCCCCGTCTTACCCGACTATACTCAAGAGCTGAAATTAGTGGATTGACAGATTGCTGATTGAGAGAAAATTATTCGGCAACAATTATTTTGATTCATAATTTAAATAAAAAATGCCAGCTTCTCAAATGTGAGCATTTGCTAGTTTTCTACGATAGTAAACTTTTGGCTTTCAAACACAAAAAAGCATTTGATAACTTGGTTAACCTCGCCCTCAGGAAATGACGATAATAATGACATTTTACACACTGAAAAGTCAATCAAATATGATAAAAACGGTCAGACCTAATGATAATGAAGGTTGGTTGGTTCAAGTCTTGCACAGCAATTTGACAAAACACAACTTTAAAACACATAGGTACAATATAAACTAAAACAACAAGTTCTTAAAACTA